TCTGGACCTGGATGGCCTTTGGTCAAGTACTAATGCATCTACACTACATAATGTATATAGAGGATATATGACTGCAATGTTGTTGGACCGGTATTACACTTGCTACAGGATTCTGTGACAGCTTGGACTTGTTTCATCACTGATATGTGCGTCAAAATTTGGACGCCACAATTGCATAGTGAATATGTGCGGAAACATGTACACCTTGTTAAACGAGCACATACGCAAACAGAGTAAGATGAGAAATTTTGATGTTTGAGAACTGAGTACGTCCGCCTCACTGATTATAATACTCATTTGACATGCCTTTTAAAATATGACACTCCAAAATGCAAATTCTTTCAACACAGGGTCTTCTCCTTATTATTATCATTTCCAAAAAAAATTCTTTTCTTCTTTTCCTGCCACTCTACTAAAAGATATAAACATACCCTTTGCCTTATCCCTTTGACTTCTGGATCTTTGATTTGCATGCGCGTTCTTCTACAGGCACTTGACCTCTATCTCGTCGTGTTCTTCGTCCCCGACTACAACCATCCTACTAACTCCAAGATGGCTAAGCCCAGCAAGCGCATGGCCAACAAACCATCCTGGCTCCCAACTTGTGTGTATGTCTGGCCCAGAGAGGATCAAATGGATTTGCCTGTTAGCAGTGATCATGAAGAGGACAAGAAAGGCGACCAGATGGGTTGAATAGGAGCTGAATCCAATTTACTTTCGATTTCGGCCGCCGTCCCAAATCGATCCCCAAAGCGCTCAGAACACCAAGACTTCCAACTGAAGAGTACACAGGCCAACCGTTGACTGGATACCGTCTAAACAACTCAAAGAAAATAGCAGAAAAATGGAACTCTAACTGCCACACTTGGGCGCAGAAGTGCGGCCCTGAATATTTTCAGCACCACGAACCAAAATCCCAAAAAAGAAATCTGATCCAAACGAACTCCGACTGGGCTCAAACTTGGCACAGGGGAGGGTTAGGTAGTTTAGAAGGTAACCCAACAAGATCAATTCCAAAAACCCAAGGAAACTCTGGGGATCTGGATTCTTACTGACCCGATAGGGGTTTTCTCAACTTTGCTCAAATTCCCCCAAACTCGTGCTCATGAGAAGTCTGACCAAACCAGTTGGTAGATATGTTCCTCTAAGGTCCTACGTATCCATCCATCCCAATCGGTCTCAATCCTCATAATCTCCAAAACCACCAAAACGCAAAGGGAAGGGGTTCGGGAAGACAAAAATCCAAATTGATTCAAACCAAAAGAACTCGAGACAAGATCTTGGACAAGAGATTCTACAGGACAAGATTTCTTTATTGCCAAGATCAACAAGGTCTAGTCATACACACAGATGATAGGATTACACAGACTAAGGGACTCAAACTCACATCTGCGGATCTCTATCTGGATTGCGGAATAAAACTAGAGACCGGGAAACCCCAAGGAATGACAACCAGAGATAGGCTAGTTTGGGCAGCCTCCCCTCTTTTTTATAGAGCTATCACACAATTTCATTGCCCTTAGATATTTTTCCTGAACCACTTAACCCTTGTGGCAAAATGGTCCAATTGGAGATCCGTGAATTCGACGGCCACGAGACCTTGACAAGATAGCTTCGCCTTGATGCAAACTCCCCGATGTTGCCACGTGCCTCCTCTAACTCCGCTCCCAGGTTTAGAGGCCCAAACCTGGTAAAACTGTCCGCCGGTGGTTTTGAAGTCCAAACCACCAATCCCAGCTGCAGAAGCGTCCGCTACGCCTCTTCCATGATCTCAACGTGTGTCACCGTTGGTCCTCGACCACAGCCTGGTCACGAAGTCCTTTTTCGCCTCTGCTAGACTTAGTCAGCATCGTCTTGATTTGGTCAGCATAGTCTGCATAGTCTACTCTTGCTCGTCGATGGTCCCAAGTGTCAGCCACCCACGGCCTATCTTTTGGCCATTTGGTCTCTCGGGCCAAGCCTCACGTCCATCCTTCGCCGCTCCCAGTCCATCGAGACGACACATCCCTACTTAACCTTCTCCATTGCCGTCGAACTTCTCAGTGCTCCACACCTTCACACCACAAAGCCAAGAGACATGTTGGACAACACACTCACAGTGAGGTTAGTCCCAAACTCAACCGAAGCCTGGTCATCTGCTCACAATCAGCCATCATCAATCGATACACATGGGCACATATCAACCATGTGTTCGCACATCAACGCAATAGATCGACAACTCAAACATCTTCTTCCTCCTCATATGAAGGTTCACAGCACCTGCCATGCCACTGAATCAAAATCCTTCCCCATTGCTAACATCTCGTATGATAGACACCGTCTTGTAGCGTGCCACTGACCATCACAACTTCACTTGTCCCTAATGTTGTCATGGTGCCACGGATCCCATTAATAGGATGAACATACTAAAGGAAAAAGGCCCTCTAGGTGTGGTTTCGTAGTAACGGAACCGAAAAGCATCTCTAGGTACGTAAAGATGCTTCTTGAAATAATTTTAGATATGCTTTTACTATCAAAAGGCATCTAAAACCACTTTTTAAGATGGTATTGAAAGAGTCTCAAAATGGCAAAGCTTTAGATACACTTTAAATGGTAAATAGTATCTAGACATATTACAAAGTGCACTAGACAATGGTTCAACGCCAATTAAAGATTTTTTTGACGTGGTACTAAAAATGTTTCAAAATGAGATGAAGCTAGATATGCTTTAAATCATTATTAGCATTTAGATACATCACAAAGCATATCAAACGACTATGCGTAGCCATAAAAGATGTTTTTTCATGCAATACAAAAAAAAAAATTCAAATTTAAAGGAAATTTAACATGCTTTGGACAACCCGTAGCTTGTAGGCACATTGTAAAGTGTATCAAACCACCATCTATGGCCTTCTAAAGATGAATTTTAATGTGACATTAAATATCCGTCAAAGTGACACGAAACTAAACATGCTATCCTCCATTTGTAGCTTGAACCAAAGGCATGTAAATATGCCTTTGAAAACACCTCAAAATGGCACACAAATCAGAAAAGGCCCTTGATTATTAGTAGCACTATAAGGTTATAGATCCTATAAGCCACTACAACAATGTTGACATGTTAAAATCCATAATAGATGTCATTTTGTACATGTGTGTCATAGTATAAAAAGACCAAAGATCTAAAAACTTTCATTCTAAAACTTCTTTCCAAACTATTTGGGGTGGAGTATCTACCAATATTCAGAGCGCTTTTGTTTTAAGTTTTAACGCACTTTATTGCTACATTGAAAAACTATACTCACGGGCATATAAATATGATGTACTTCACATTGTATGTTTCATGATGTATTTTTTACTGTTCACTCGGTACCTATGAGATATTCCAAGCTAGATTTTGATGTCGTTTGCTGATATCTATGGGATCTTCCATAGTATAAGTAAAATGTTCTCACTATGCATGAATTTTTTTCCATTTTCCAATATTAGACATGAATATTATGGAATACCACTCCCGTGAACCTATAATTTTATTTTAAAAAAATATAATCATATTGTCGTCAATCTAGAACATCTTTACTGTGAAGGCGGGACACTGTTTTCTGAACTTACACAGCCGTGGGTCTCAAAATTTTATCCATGTGGGGTCTTAAAATTTTATATACAATAATATCTAGATCTATCCATGTCAAAATTTTCTAACTAGATAAATTTATCATCAAAATCAACAAACTAGTGCTGAATGAACAGTAGGGGGTGGTTCACCTATAGTAAGAGGAGAGTTTTCTTGCACTCTGCATCATCCATGCCACACCTGGATATGGGCCGTGTGCGATTAACGGCAACTTCCTATGACCAACTCATGAATCTTCTTATACCCCCCAAGTGGTGTCTTAAAGGTGTCGAGCGCACTAAAGGAGCCACCATTGCTAGCGAAATGGAGTTAGACAAAGCTACCTAGAACTTCATGCATCCCAAGGACCAACCAGATCATGCAATCAATGTTTGTGGGCACCATAGGTGCAATAATCTTATTGAACATTCTCTTGGTGCTTCTCATGCATAGCACGGGCGACATAGGCAACATCTATGTGTTGGACTCTATCCTAGAAAGATGGCATCTACTGGAAGACTTGGATGGAAAATTTGAGATCTTGATCGTAGATCAACCACATAGAGATTATGGAAACACATATGGGAGGGCATAATGATTTCTGCCGATGGCTTTGGGTGAGCAGAAGGAACACTGGGGCTTATTTATAACCTAAGGCAGCTGGTAGGAAGATTTGATTGTGAAAACATGGTTCTATCGGCGTAGGTGGATCTGGTGGATGGAATCACTCCCCATCGATTTGCATTTCCTGGGGTAGAGTAACTTGTACCTGAACAAATATAAATTCAGGTCCGAGTGCAACCCATCTGATCTACTGTGCATGATTCCATGGATTACCTGTCCGAGCCCAAAAACACTGCACCAGGGGTTGTTCTCTTAAGGCAACCACCTCTAGAAATGGATTTTGTTTAGGGAACTCTAGAAATGGATTTCCAAGGCCTGTTGAAAGCCCGACACTATCAAGGCCTCATCTTTACAACTGATGACATAGTGTCAGTTTTGAAAACTGCCCATGAAAACCATTTTTGACTGACTCTAAAATCGTTCCACGGTAGTGAATGGATAATAAAGATCCTGTAACATTCGTGCGTAGGACCAATTTATAAAGTAGTAGCAGCAAACGAGTCATAGTTGTGTTTTTTTATTTGTGTAGAAGTTGAACAGAAGTGTATTTACTCTTCATACTTATGGATAAACAAGAATTCCTTTACACCACACACCACACAAATCAAGTTACAATGCCATAGGACAGACACAAAATCAAAAAAGATAAGACATCCATGCGCTTGGTACAATTTAGATCTGTGGTGTATTTTGCACTAAAACCTTCAAAGTATTCTCACATTAACTCACGTGATAAGAATAGGACCACCAAAAGTTGTTATACTGTTTAGTTTCACTGCAATTTTCAATTTTCAAATGGAATTGGAACATCATAAGGCGTCGCCACAAGGTGTAGTTGGTTGCGCCGCTTTGCTGTTGCACCAACTGTTATGTCCATGTCGAGCTCCTCCGGAAGCATTTTGCCTGGTAGGCTCCAATCGAAGTAGTAGAGGAGCCGTGCCACGATGAGCTCCAGTACGGCCACCCCAAAGCTCAAGACGGGACACATCCTTCTCCCACTACCGAATGGCAAGTAATGAAATTCTGAACCTTTGTAGTCACAGGTAGTGTTCTCAAATCTTGTTGGCCTAAACTCCTCAGGATTGTCCCAATACTTTGGGTTCCTTGCCGTTGCCCATGCATTGATCCCCACCATAGAACCTTTGCTGACCTCGTACCCACCGATGTCACAGGTCTTCCGGCATAGATGTGGTACGAGGAGGGGTAGAATTGGGTGAAGCCGCAGTGTCTCCATGATCACCATCCTTGTGTAGTGTAGCCTGTCTATATGAGACTAGTGATGACGTGGGATTATGTTGTGAAAGGCTTCACGCATCTCTGGCAGCGGTGGTGGCGTGGATCTCTGCAACTAGGGACATGGTCTCGCTGTCCCTGATCGGCGCCAGCTGCCTGACCACTAGTAGAGAAACGACTTTTGATCCACTTTGAAATTTGGCTTTAGTCCTGGTATTTTTTGCGCCCGGGACCAAAGAAACCTTTAGTCCCGGTTGGTAGCTCCAACCGGGACTAAAGGTTCCTGCCCAATGGCTATTGCGGCAGGCTTTTGCTGCAGGGGACCTTTAGTCCCGGTTGGAGCTACCAACCGGGACTAAAGGTTAACTTTTACTTCCGGTTGGTCCCTCCAACCGGGAGTAAAAGTCTACTCCCGGCTGGAGGCTCCGTCCGGAAATAGAAAGGGACCTTTAGACCCTGTTGCTGTCTCCAACCAGGACTAAAGGTCCCCTCCTATATACCCCTTCTTCCTCCCCGAGCCCGAGCCACTTCAAGCTCAGTATTCTTGCTTCATCGCCGGCCTCTCTTCTTCCTCGTCGCCGGTAATCACAAGATTTCTTCGATTCCTCCATCGATTCTTGGGTTCTAAAGGTTACCAACTTTATACTCTCATGTTTTATCAGTAGCATATCTCATTTTGTGGACTAGATATATGTGGTTTTTTATGGTGGATTTTTTTATTTGAAGCCATTTAAGCTCAAAATCACTTTAAAGTTTGCATATTTGGATGAAGGAAGGTTAAAGTAGTTATTCAAAACTAGTATTCAGCTTTCATTTCTAGCATGCATAGCACACTTCATGGTTTAGAGATATAGATAATTTTAGAGTTTTTTTAATTTTATTTGTTTATAAAATGAGAAATTTATATTATATTAAAAATGAGTATAGAGAGTAGATGGCAACTGCTTCTAGGTCCTCGGCCTCTCATCGGGTTCCAAAGCGACTGAGGCTGGACCCCCCTCTCATTGCATGCGGCAAGTGTGAGGAGAAGATTGTGATGGACTACCGAGTGAGGAAGGAGTGTCCCAACAAGGGCCGTATGTTCTACAAGTGTCCGGATCACAATATGAGTTATTTTGTCGCATTTGATGATTATGGTTAATTTATACTTATTTTCATGATGATTGTGATTAAAGTTCTAATTTTTTGTTTTAATTTCAGTGGGATAGCACTGGATGTCCAGGCTGGTACTGGGAAGAAGAGTATGTTGAACACGTGCAAAACTCTCTTGCACAGGCGGCTACGGCGGCTGATGAGGCAGTGATCCTGCGGAAGAAGCCCATAGATGTTGAACAAACGCATGATCTGTCTGTTTTAGTTGGCATTGGTCGCGAAATCCTTATGTTGCTGAAGTGCATTTTAGCTTTAGTTTTTATAGTGGTAGTTGTGATTGTCTACATTGTAGCGAGACTTTCATAAATTAATACCTTTGGTTATGGCATGCATGTCGTATAATTAACAATTATGTTCTAGGTTTTAATATGGTATGTATGTCATGTAATGCAGATGAGCCAGCATTGGATGTACAATGCTGATCGCCGCTCCCAAGAGTTCATCGAGGGCGTGCATTCTTTCTTACGTGTGGACGAGGCAAACAAATACGATGGTTTCATGTGTTGCCCATGTGCCATATGTACGAATTTGAAGGAATATGCTAGCTCAAGGAGTCTTCATTCACACTTTGTTGAAGTCGGGTTTCATGCCAAACTATATTTGTTGGACGAAGCACGGAGAAACCGGGGTTGTAATGGAAGAAGGTGAAGAAGAACAATGGGACGATGATGACATTATTGCTGAATATGGTGCCTTCAATGATACTGCAATGGGGAAAGCTGAAGAAGAGGTAGGGGCAGAAGATGAGCCCGCTGATGATCTTGGTCAGGCCATTCGTGACGCACAAAGAGAATGCGAAAGTGAAAAGGAGAAGATCAAGTTCGAGCGCATGCTAGAGGATCACAAGAAATTGCTATACCCAACTTGTGATGCGGGGTAGAAAAAGTTGGATACCACACTGGAATTGCTGCAATGGAAGGCAAAGAATGGTGTATTTGACAAGGGATTTGGGGAGTTACTAAAAATCTAAAAGAAGATGCTTCTAAAGGATAACAAATTGCCCGCCACTATGTATGAAGTAAAACATGTAGTCTGTCCTTTGGGATTAGAAATCCAGAAGATACATGTATGTCCTAATGACTACATCCTCTACCGTGGCGAGGAGTATGAGAAGTTATATGCATGCCCGGTATGTCATGCATCATGGTATAAGATCAGGCGAGATGACCTTGGTGATGTTGAGGGCGAACGTCCCACGAAGAAAATCCCTGCCAAGATTATGTGGGATGCTCCTATAATACCACGCTTGAAACATCTGTTCAGAAACAAAGACCGTGCAAAGTTGTTGTGATGGCACAAACAAGATCGTTAGGTAGACAATATGTTGAGACACCCTGCTGATGGGTCCCAGTGGAGAGCAATCGATAGAGAATTCCCGGAGTTTGCAAATGACGCAAGAAACTTAAGGTTTGCTTTAAGTACGGATGGTATGAATCCTTTCAGAGAGCAGAGCAATAGTCATAGCACTTGGCCTGTTACTCTATGTATCTACAACCTTCCTCCCTGGTTATGCATGAAGCATAAGTTTATTATGATGCCAGTGCTCATCCAAGGCCCAAGGCAACCTGGCAACGACATCAATGTGTATCTGAGGCCACTAGTTGAAGAACTTCTACTTTTGTGGAACAGACCAGGTGTACGTGTGTGGGATGAGCACAAACAGGAGCACTTTGACCTGCGAGCATTGTTGTTCATAACCATCAATGATTGGCCTGCTCTAAGTAATCTTTCAGGACAATCAAACAAGGGATATAATGCATGCACACACTATTTCGATGACATTAAAGGTATATTCTTGAAAAAATGTCGAAAGGTCGTGTACCTTGGCCATCGTCGATTTCTTCCTATGAATTAGCCCCTACGAAAGAAAGGCGAGCATTTTAAAGGTAAGGCAGACCAAGCCAGGCAACTAAACTGGTGAGGATGTACTCAATATGGTCAAGGATGTGAAAGTTGTATTTGGAAAGGCACATGGCAGTGAACCTGTTCTGAACTACGCCGAGGGTCACGCACCCATGTGGAAGAAGTCCTATTGGCAAGTCCTAGAGGTCCATAGCGCGATCAACGTGATGCACCTGACGAAGAATCTTTGTGTGAACCTGCTAGGCTTCATGGGTGTGTATGGGAAGCCTAAGGACACACTTGAAGCACGACAGGACCTGCGGCGTTTGAAAGAACGAGACAACCTGCATCTAGAGAAGATAGATGATGCACGCCATTACTTAAGTCCTGCCAGCTACACTCTTAGCAAAGAAGAGAAGGAAAGCTTGTTTGAATGCCTAGCAAGCATCAAGGTACCTTCTGGATTCTCCTCGAATATAAAGGGTATAATAAATGTGCTACATAAGAAATTCCTAAACTTAAAGTCCCATGACTGCCATGTGCTCATGACGCAATTGCTTCTGGTTGCATTAAGAGGAATTCTACCTCCAAATGTACGTCTAGCCACCGTAAAGCTATGTGCATTCCTCAATGCAATTTCTCATAAGGCAATCGATCCAATGGATCTAGCTAAACTACAGAATGATGTGGTTCAATGTCTTGTCAAATTTGAGTTGGTGTTCCCTCCTTCCTTCTTTAATATCATGACACACCTCCTAGTTCACCTGGTCAAGGAGATTAGCAGTCTCGGTGCTGTGTTCCTGCACAACATGTTCCCCTTTGAGAGGTTCATGGGAGTCCTAAAGAAATATGTTCACAACCGTGCTCGGCCAGAAGGAAGCATCGCCAAGGGCTATGGAATAGAGGAGGTCATTGAGTTTTGTGTTGACTTTATTCCCGACCTTGACCCGATTGGTGTTCCTAAATCACGACACGAGGGGAGACTAAGTGGAAAGGGGACACTAGGGAAGAAACCATATATTGGTACGTAGGACAATTATTTTAATAAAGCACACTATACAGTTCTGCAAAACTCCTCCTTGGTGGATCCGTATATCGAGACACATAAAGAGTTGCTCCGATCCAAGTTTCTAGGGAAGTCTGAAGCTTGGATTACGCGTCAGCACATGGAAACTTTCAGCGACTGGTTGCGAAAAGAATGTCAGGGTGATGACAGTATTGATGAGCAACTGTATTTGTTGGCAAGGTAGCCATCGTGGCATATCCTCACATACAAAGGGTACGAGATAAATGGGAATACATTTTACACAGTAGGCCAAGATAAAAGGAGCACCAACCAAAATAGTGGTGTCCGCATAGATGCCACCGACCCTAATGGAAATAAGCAAACATATTATGGCCGCATAGAGGAGATATGGGAACTAAACTATGCACCTATTTTTAAGGTACCTTTGTTCAAGTGCCAATGGGTAAAGGCGACTGGAGGCGGGGTAGCAGTCGACAACCAGTATGGAATGACAACCGTGGACCTCAACAATATTGGGTACAAAGACGAACCATTCGTCCTTGCCAAGGATGTGAATCAGGTGTTCTATGTCAAGGACATGTCTACAAAACCGAAGAGAGGGAAAAACAACAACGACCCAATCAATGAGCCAAAGAGCCACATAGTTCTTTCAGGGAAAAGAAACATCGTCGAAATTGAAGACAAGTCAGACATATTAGAAGATTATGAAAAGGATGACCGAATTCCACCCTTCATGGTGAACAAAGACACAATCATCCAGCTAAATGATGAGGACACTCCATGGTTACGGCGCGATCATAACCAAGGGATGTATGTTAAGAAGAAGTTCACTACCGTGCCCGCTTGATATATATAGTGATGTTTAATAGTTTGTATTAGAGGTATTATGTAATAATTGTGAATTCAGAGATGTTTATTAGGTGTTTCCTTTTTTTTCTACGTTCAGATTAAATTTGTGTTTGATGGTGGGATTTCCATGTCACTTTTGGACAATGAGTGACGAAAAATGAAAAGATTTATGTTAAAATGATGTGAAAACAAATTTCCAATCAAAAACAAAAGTTTTAATGATTTAAATTAAACACTACATTTTTGCATTAACGAAATAGTAAATATTAATGACATTATGTTTCAATAGTTATAAGAAAAAACAAAAAACTTTAGGTGACACAATTTTTCTGTGTGCAATAAAGCAAAAGTAAATTCATATTCTTTTAAAACAATTTTATGCCTTGTGTTTTAATTTACTGTGCAATGGACAAGGCTTTAACATTTTATAGAAAGAAATATATAAAAAAACAAATGAAGCTTGAAACTAGCGGGAAGCCAAACTGCAACCCACCTTTACTCCTGGGTGGATCAACCACCAGAGACACAAGATGGGCTGCATTTTCGCAGCCCGCCAAAATCCCCTTTACTCCCGGGCCGTGGCTACACCCGGGACTAATGGTCAGACCTTTAGTCCCGGTTCTAACTATCACCTAGGACTGTAGGTCCCCCTTTATAAACCATGCCCTTCTCCCTTCTCTAGTTCTCTTCCTCTCTGTCTCCGCCATGCCATCGCCTCATCTTCTCCATCAGATCGATCCGATCCAGCAGCGCCGCCGCCCCTAGGCAACCACCCTAGCGTTGCCTTGTCACACACGCACGCTATCACCGGCCCCACTCACACGCGCGCTAGCGCACGCCTCGCTCATCCTCGTCCATCGTTGCCGCAGCTCGCGTCGCTCGTCCCTGGCCCACGTGCCTCGCTTGTTCTCGCTGGAGCGCGCGTTGTCCTCGTCCATAGATCTTGATAAGAATTTAATTTGGGATGATATCCTTCAACATTTCAGGTTGCAAGCGGATGATTATGATGATATCAATGATGATGAATTGAAAGAGCTAGTTCGAAAGTGGGCTATGAAGAAGATGGCCAAACAATTCCAGACTTGGAAGAAATCCCTATACACAAAATACGTCAAGAAGAATCTAACGCCCAATTTCAATACTAGGGGCCCGCTCGCGAAGTTGAGGCCCTACTGGAATGATTTTGTACAGTACAAGACATCGAAAGAGGGTGAGGAACGGGTGAGAAGGAACCAAGAGAATGCCCGACAGAAGGTATACCACCATGGCATGGGATCAGGTGGCTACACGACTGCCATTCCCAAGTGGGAAAAAATGGAAGCGGACATTCTTGCCAAGGGTATCACTCCAGAATCACTTAATTGGGCCAAACACGCGAAGAATTGGTTTTTCGCTCATGGGGGAAGACTGGACCTAGAGACCGGGAAGCTGGTTCATGGCCCAAAACTCAAAAGAGCAACACAAAGATTTTCTTATGCTCTACAAGCTAAAGCTATTGGTGCGTTCAGGCCCAATAGAGAGAAGGATGAACTGATGTATGCCATCGGGACTGTTGAACACAGTGACCGAATGAGAGGTTTAGGATGAAACATTTCTTGGGGGCATGGTTTCCCTAACGACAGAGATACCTACAGAAGCCGGTAGAGAGAGAAGGATGAGGAAGCAGCACGGATCAGCAGGTTGGAGGAATATGTTCATGAGTCACGGGAGGCGTTGCTTCAAGCATAGAAGCACGAAAAAGACCTGCAAGCTAGAATGCAGGATGAAATCATAAAGCAAGTGCAAATAGCAATGAGTGTCCAAAGACAGGCATCAAATCCAGGAATCAACATTAATATTAGCCCCCCTGATCAGTTGAAAAGTAGCTACGCTTCCATGGAGTTGCCAAATCAAGATGACCCAATGATACGTTTCCCCGTGGATGACATCACTGCACCGTTTACATCATGTGAGCTACATATTCCAAAAGGGAATGCCACAATCATGGTGGCTCTTGGTGTTTTTTCTCCTCCAGATCCTACCAAGACACCAAGAATCCATGGGGCAATAATACCACCTGGATATGTTAGCGTCTCAGTGGATAGAGTTAACAAAGGTTTTAGTAATCTGGCTCTTGACATTCCAGGAGGCGATGGGGAGAAGACTCTAGGAGAAGCAGAGAAGACATTCATACTATGGCGCAAGAGCTACATCATTATTCCAGGGATCTCTAGTCCACCGCCGCTTCCTCAACTGCCAGACAATAGGTGCAGACAAAAGTGAACGAAACAATTTTTTCACTAATTTTCTATTGACATGCATGATTAATAATAACAATTTCTTATACCTAATTATTCTTTTTTGTACTCACACAGCAGGGCCTCAGCCAACCTAAGTCCAATTATTCAATCTCCAGATCATCATAGTGCTTCGGGCAATGATTATGCAACGCCACCACCGCCGCCACCTCCAAGGAGGTCTCCAACGCCTCCAAGGAGGTCTCCAACGCCTGCCCCGCCTCCCTTCACGACCAAGAAGTAGCCAACTCCTAAGAGGTCCGCCCCGCAAACGAAGCCATTGGCCCACCAGCCGGCAAAGAAGAAAGCCTCCTCTAATCCAGTTATTCCCCAAAAACTATCTTACGAGAAAAGTGAAAAGGAATTAAATGCTGCAGTACAAAAAGATGTGAATAGTTTCTTCGAAAAAGTAAGAAAGCAATGAAAAGCGAGGGAGAACCCGGAGAAACCGTACTTCTACCTACCTCCAGATCTTCTAAGAAAGAAGGTGGACCAGAAAAAGTGGGAATCTCAAAAGACCCTGTCAAAATCGAACTACGACTGCTCTCTCACCAAGTCATTTGAGGCGGCGCAGAAAAAGACTAGAGCAGGGAAAGGTGTTGCACAACTCAAACAACAACCGCAACAATCAGTCCCCCCTCTTATCATTCGTAATGAATATGGTTCAAACTTAGACTTACTGGATGTCGATTTTGAGGACCTGGTTCGGTTTTATGAGGATACTGGTTTGGACCTTGCCCAAGTGCTCGCTGAAGGACCATCTGCTCCGAAAGTGGATCCTTGGAAGAAATTTAAACTTGTAAAGAGTCTATACAACCCTGAGGCCTTAGGTGAACTGGGTACGCAAATATACTTGCTAAATAAGTGGTACATGGCGGCGTGTGAATGGGGAGAGACCATTGTTTCTGTCAGAGTTAGAAACCAACATTACTTCCGTGGCGATGACGTTATATATGTCGAGTTTTTAGAATTACACCAACTATGCCCCCTGGACTCAGGATAATGATGTTAGTTTAATTGATCCAAATGTCGTATTCAAACACCCTACTCCCCCGCCTCAATGAAAAGCTGAACTCGAGAAAAATCTCAAGATGTTCTTAGTGAACCAACAAAACAAGGACATACTCTTCCCCTACAACTTCAAGTGAGTGTTAAATAATTAATGTCGATCATATGGACATTTGTTCAATTATTTGCTTACTAGCTAAGCTATCTCCCATATATATATGTTGACACTAGTTAATGTGGATCATATTTGTGTATAACAACATATGCAGCAATCACTGGATATTGATGGTCATCTATATGGCCAATAGTCGGTTGAGCATCTTGGACTCGTTAAGAAAAGAGCAAACAGAGTACCAAGACATGATAGATATTATCCAAGGGTAATTTGGTCTATCTAGCAACTATATATACCCCGATCTCTTAACTGCAACAATTATTAAAGGCCAAATTAATTTTTTATTTTATTGGGCGCAGTGTTTGGAAAAGTTTCATTGAGGAACACCACATGAAACATTGCAAAGCGCCACTGGATGTAATCGCACACAAAGTAAGTACTAGCTACATTTATATATATATAATTCAATTAACACCATGCATGCTTTCAATTCACCGGATCTTTTTTCTCGTAAAAGTGGGTTCTGAGGCAAGAACAGGGGACCAACTACTGCTGATACTATATTTGCGAGTTCATCATGGCGTACTCAAAAAGAACTCCTGAAGAGATCCTCAAAGTACGTTATATAAATATATTTATATATTCACAATTTCTTTTATTGCTAATATATATAAGTAATCACGTGACCAACATATATATATATATATATATATGTATATTAATACTTTTTGTTTAACTTTTATTGAAGACTCTATGGTTGAAGGAAAAAGTCATACGACATGACCAACTGAAAGCAATTCAAGAGACCATAGTAGGATTTTTTAATGACCAGGTCTTAAACCCCGCCGGTGAGTTCTACAATGACATGAATGAAACATGGAAGCCAAACCAGATAGAGTGAATTTGTTATCCGAAGGATATGATAGAATATACAATGCAAGCTTTATTTATAATATATATATACATATTATATGTATATAAAATAACGTATAATATATGTATATGCATGTAATATATACGTTAGTTTTATACTTTAATTTGTATAAAATATTCGAACATTATAAACGTGTAGAATACGTATATTATTAGCAGTGTAGAATGCGTATTCGAAAACCTATTCGAAAATCAAAACGAATCATCAATTGAAAATAGAAAAAAAGAAACCTTTAGTCCTGGTTGGTAATACCAACCGGGACTAAAGGGCTGGTCCACGTGGCCAGGCTAGGAGGCCTCTTTAGCTCCGGTTGGTATTACCAACCCGGGCGAGAAACCGACACTAAAAAAGGGGCCCTTTAGTCCCGGATTTGTGCTCCTGGTTGGGAAACCGGGACTGAAAGGGTTTCCCAATCGGGAGTACAGCTTGTTTCTATATTAGTGGACCTTGTGCTTGTGCTTGCTGAGGAGCTGGAGCACGCAGAGCTTGTGCAGCGCCCGCCAGTAGTCGCCGTAGGGCGAGAAGGCAAAGTCGAGGGTGCCATAGCCGATGATCTCCGCGGCGATCAGGGCCTGGCGCGACGCGAAGTTGACGTCGTTGCTTTGGAGAACCTGCTGCGCTGCGGCCGGCGAGGAGACCACGACAGTGTCGATCTGTCCCAGCCGCAGGTACATCACCGGCCCGTGCTTCTCGGCGAGGTCCCGGAGAGCGGCCTGTGGCTGCGAGGTCACCATGTGATGGATGCTGCCGACGAAGGGGATGGCCCATGGCCCCGGTGGCCACCTCTTCTTGGTGTTGGCTCTCGAACTGTGCCGGAAGGATGATACAAGGATGAGCAGTGAAGAAAGAAACAGGAAGACAAGGGCGAGTCTGCATATCTCCATGGATGCTTAAGGTACTCAGCAAACGAGATGACTTTTACTTATAGAGGAGTATTAGTTATTTTGTACTTAGATACCTACTCCACTAGATGCAGTGCAACTGTCCAGGAGCAGTTTCTGAACTTTACGAAAAGTTGATTACAGAAATTAACCATTTGTTATCTTAGGCTGTCTCTGGTCTACAAACTGTTGTCGTCCAACCAAGAAGGAAAAGAGGGAGAGGAATGTAAAGCCTGGTTTGCTCTCTATATAAGTTTTTATCAAAATGTTACGCTTCATCAGGACTTTATATAGATGAGAGTCCCATATTATTGTAATTGTTATCATTATTCAGATAATAAAATGTAGCTCCCCAAATTTGTACATTTTTTGTTTTACTTTTATCTACTATGGTATAGTAAGAGAAGGAGAGATAAACAAGGTCCTAACCACTGGCAATATATTTCACAATGCATCATTAGCACACTAGTCCATCAATCCGTGATCTCGTATGGGCTAGAACCAACATCAGTTACATAAAAAATAGAGTGAAATACACTGACGGCCCTTTAACTTGTCGGCTTGTGCCAGTCCGGTGCACGAACTTACAAACGCGGAAAATAGGCCCCAGAACTTGTCAAGTTGTTCACCGCAGGCCCATTTCCCATCCGACGCGGCCTCCAGGCGACATGGCAGTGCCAGCGTGGCGGACGAAGCACGTGAACCAGCTGCTACACCTGTCCCTGCTCCTCGCCGCGCAGGGGCTCCCCGTCCACTTCATGGCGCCGGAGCCGCACTTCCAGGAGGCCGCGCTGGACGTGCCCGCACACGAGTCCCCCGCCCCGGACCCGCGCTCCCCTTTCCCGATGTACATGCAGCCGCTCTTCGAGGCCTACTACACCGGCGCGCGGGCCCCGCTGGCCATGCTCCTGGCGGAGCTCGCCGCGACCCTCGGCGTGCACTGCCTCCCCGCCTCCTACCACGTCGGGTGGGCGGACCGGAGCACGCCTGCTGCGCCGCCACGGCCTCGTGTTCCACCTGCGACTCTGCGCCACCGCAGAAGTTCGTCCGCCTTCGCCAAAGCGGATGGGGCAAGAGCGCCAGATCGCCCGGCGCCGGCATGGTCGTCAACACCGCCGCGCTCTTGAGGGTGACTTCCTCGACGCGCTCCAGGGGATCCCATATCTTTCAACGGTCGCAGTCTGTTCGCCGTTGGGCCTCTCAGCCTGGTGCTCCTCCCGATGCCGCACGGCGGTGGGGGATCGGGCAGCGAGGCTTTCGGCGGCACGAGTGCTGGACGAGCTTGACGTGCGGCCGTCGTCGTCCGCTGCGCGCCTAGAGCGCAGTGTGCGCGAGCTGGCCCGCCGTCAAGGGGGACAGCGGGCGCGCTTCGTGTGGAGTCTTTGGGTGACGCCGATCGCGCGGACCTGCGGCGGCGGGAAGGGATGCCGTGGCGAGACCCTCTGTGCCGCCGCGGGCGTTCGAAGCTCGGCCTCGACGACGCCCATGCTTTGGCGTGGTGGTCACCAGTGGGCGCCGCAATTGGAGATCTGGCGCGCGCGGCGCGACGGCGATGTTCATGAGCCATCGGCCGGAACTCCATCGTGGAGAGCCTCACCCATGGGAAGCCATCCTGGCTCGCCCATGCACAATGACCAGCCACGGGATGCCGAGCTTGTTCGCAAGTAACTCCGCCGCGCCGTGGTGCTCGTGCGCCCTTGGGAGCTGGTGGGCGAGCACACAGGCGACCGCGGCAGGGAGCATGGCAGCGAGCACATGGCTGAGTGTGGCGGCACCTGCGGGCGAGCGCGGCGGCTCCAGCAAGCGCACGCGGTAGCAAGCACACGAGCGCGCAGAGCCAGCGCCAAGCGAACAGCGCCGCGATGCAGAGGAGCACATACTGCGTGCGGCGAAGCGAGCATGGCGGCGGCGGGCAGAAAGCGGCGGCTCTGGCAAGCGCACGTGGCAGCGAGCACGCAGAGCCAGCGCCCATCGGGCGAGCGCCGTGCCGTGGAGTAGCACATACGGTGCCGGCGGGCGAGCGTGGCCGCCCCGGCGGGCGGCGCGGCGGTTCCGGCAAGCGCATGCGGCAACGAGCACACGGAGACAGCGGGCGAGCACGATACCGCGGCCGAGCGCACGCGGTGCTGGCAGGCGAGTGGCGCGGCACGACCGGCGTGGCCGAGCGGGGCTTGCGCGACCGGCAAGTGAGCGTGGCAGGCCCATTGAAACGTGCGGCTCACGTGCTTCGTCCACCACGCTGGCACTACCACATAGCCTAGAGGCCGCGCCGGATGGGAAATGAACCTGCGGTGAACAACTTGACAGGTTCAGGAGTCTATTTTTCGTGTTTGCAAGTTCGCGGACCTGTTTTGGCACAGGCCGACAAGTTAAAGGGCCGCCAGTGTATTTCACTCTAAAAGATACTTAATAAATTGCATGTTTTTCTTTGCTTATTTTTAGTACAATACGTATATTTTCTGATAAACTTATGAATTGTGCTGAACTAAATGTTTTCATCCATATCGATAGTTTGTTCCTTTTGCATGTCATCTATGTGAATCTTTAGGGCTCATTCGATACAGCTCCTCCTCAAGTGCTCCTCCCAAGGAGCCACTTGTTGGGGCGGCCTTCTTGCCGGAAGGCTCTCTAACAAAGTAACCAATCTTACGGGGATGTTTGAGCAGGTACCGTGGCGAAGAGTTAGCCGAGGGTGGAGAGCTGCTGTGGTTGGTGAAGCAAAGGCCAGCTGAGCACCAAGAGCGGAGAAGCGAAGGCCAGCTGAGCACCAAGAGTGGAGAAGCGAAGGCCTGCTCGAGAAGCCCATGAGGAGGGAGCCTTCGCTGATATTCTCCAGTCTTCGGCTCTCTGATGGAGTGTGGCGGCGAACAGGGCCTTCGATCAGAAAGAGTCAAGCGAAGGCGATTGAAGGGGATGCAACGCTGACGTCCTAGCGGCGGCGGGAGTCAGACGGCATGGCGCGCAGCCCGGCTCAATTAAGGCCCATCAAGAGAGGCTTTTCAAGTTGGAAAAGACACCAAAGACCGGAAGGGGATCACTCTCGGGTAGGAATATCCTGGAATATGCCTTAGCTAGCCTAAGGGCAATTGTGTACATGAGAATTATGAATAGAGAGTGATTTTCTGGCTCAAAACCCTAGACGTTGCCTCGGCACCTGTGTGCCCCTTCATGCCGAAAGCTGCCGCTCTGCAGTGAGCCTTCGGAGTTCAAGGGGAGAGCTGCAACTCTCTGTCTCTCCTACCTTGTCGTGTTCCTCGAATCCCAACACCAATTTTTTCAGCTTTGGCTCCTAATTCAAAAAAATATTCCTTACTCTTCTGCAATTCACCAGTAAACGTCTCTCAAAAAGTGTTTGATACTTCTCCTCCTTAGAATCTCATGCTGGAACTGGAGCCATGCCAAACAGGCATTTAATATACATTTAATTGAGACATTGGCTTAAACTATAGTGACTGTAGTTGCAGCCCATTTCTTATATGACATAGTTAATCTATTTTCTTTATTTTAAATTTGAATCTTCTTAATTTATATAAATTTTTTATTCTGAAAAAAAGTTGAAACTCTCGTGCTTATAACATCTATTACGAACTCTCCTTTTGTACTTTATAAAATAAGAATTTGACATCATAGGTTACACCCTCAATTTAAAAACAATGATGGCATAAATAATCATATATAACCAGTATCACATTGCATAAGATCAGTGCTTGAGCTAGGATAGAATAGTGCTGCTAATTTTCAGAGGATGTTAATATCTATAATGATTGTTTACTCTAAAGGAATCTTAAGGACAGAAGATATAGGCACCTATGATATGCACTAACTCTTATTTTCAATTTTCTTTGAATTTCTTATCAAGGAATTGTATGTACAATAATGATTATATTATCAATATAGATATGTCAAACATATTTTTTAAAATGTATAATTATATTTAAAGTATAACTTATATAAATTATATGTCCCGGATTTTAAAATAATTTGTTAGTATTGTTAGAATGAATCATTAAGGAAATATTTTTATGATCGCTAAAACATAACATATATATTTATTGTTCATGCATGCACGTGTTATTGATCGGCAAGGTGGTACACCATGTATGATTACCTTAATAAAATTTTGAATATATTAATATTAAAAGAAGTTGATAATACAGAAACATATATATGCTTTACGATTATTAAACAATACCAGACGTGGGTAATTATTCATCCATTCCTCAACCTCGTCCCATCTCCATTTTGAAAATAGAATAAATCCAATGGCTATTATCATCAACAACGATTATAGTCAACAAAATTGATGGCCTAATGTTACAGATTTTGTGAGAAATTCTAATATTTATATTTTCCCCCTAGCAAATCTCAAGAAGATTAACGTGAAGGCTTCATTAGACACCTCTAGTAAGAATTTATTGGATGTATCTTATTTTAGTGTGATATGTGTTTGCTTGAAACAAATGCCCTAGGATGCTCTACCAGTGAACTCTACTTCTAATATATGATTTGAAGTTACTCTTCTTTAATTCATTTTTCAAAAGCCCACCCTGGAGCAGGGTACAATGACTTACCAATAAAACCAAAGCGATGTCAAAGCTTTGTCATTTAGGAGGTTACATCACATCAAAGTCTAGAAAAATTGTGAAGCCACATATATAATAGTAAATAATGGTGAGTCTTGTCGACCAGCATGGAGAAGACGTGTCAGCAATATTTGACGGGGATCAATTCAGTGTAAATAAATCATTAAACTGTTTGGTTAAATTTCTTTTCTTAAAAAAGAACCACACATACAGTTAGATCTAGCTCGACCATTGGTCACAAAATCTGGCGCTTGCAGCGCAGGTGGCTAGCAGATGCTATAGCAGTGGTGTCTTGAGGCGGCTAGCGGTGATGTTTTAGTATTCCTCCCCAATCTCGAGGCACTTAATCCTGCTAAACAGATGTTCCTAGGAGCCGAATTTTAATCTCATGTTGTCTCTAGCTGCAGTATTTTCATCCTG